CATATTTTATTTATTTCATTATAAATATTATTTTGTTTATGTAGTTTTTAAATATTTATTTAAACATAAAGATATTTTCATACGTGACTCCTCTCTTTTAGTGGTCCGAGATTGAGGCGATGAATGTGGAAGATGTGGAGGATGAGTACAAGCGTCGCTTGGAGAACATAGCGATCAATGAGTGCTGCTGTCTGGTCTATACCTCCGGCACGGTGGGCATGCCCAAGGGCGTGATGCTCTCCCACGATAATATTTCGTACGATACGCGCGGCATTGGCAAGGGCCTGGAGAAAATCGTCCCGGGTGCGGAGTGTATGGTCTCCTATTTACCGTTGTCTCATGTGGCAGCGCAGGTTGTCGACATTTATACGATCGCCTCGTTCGGCGGTTGCATTTGGTTTGCCGATAAGGATGCGCTGAAGGGAACGCTGGTCAAGACGCTGCAGGATGCGCATCCGACCCGGTTTATGGGCGTGCCGCGTGTCTATGAGAAGTTCCAGGAGCGCATGGTTGCGGTCGCCAGCTCCAACGGCAGCTTTAAGCGAATGCTCGCCGGCTGGGCCAAGGACGTTTCGCTAAAACATTATATGGAGAATCAGGGGTAAGCTTCACCAATTTACCAGCTCACGGCCAACTTTCAACCTGTGCCCCGTGAGCGCATAAATTATGCAAAATGAATGCACAGTTAAAGTGGCTGCTGCCTAGACTCGACTCGACTCGACCCGACTTGAGTCGACTCTAGCTGCTGGCAATCCCTGCCAGGCATTCGACTCTGTTCGTTTGTTAAATTATGCAAGCAGCCAGCGTCGGTCCGCAGGCAACGGCCAAAATCACAGCAAACACAACATTACTCATACGCCGCGCTGTACACGAAGCAACTGAAGCCGTTGCTGTTGCTGCTGCTGCAGGAAACTCGCCTGCTGCATGCGTGCACGTCCAGTGTCTGCGAAATAACGTGACATGCTCTGACTTTGTCAGCGATTAGCAGCTTTAAAACATGCTCGCCTGGTTGCTGCAGACAATTTTAGCTTGGCTTTTATTTTGCTTTGAAATGAGAAGCCGAAGCCTTTACGTTTCTTTTTGAAGGCTCTGCACAAGCCAAAGATTCATTTTGCCAAGATTCACTCTTTGATATATGAATTTATTTGATATGAATCAGCTATCAATATTTTTCTCCTACTAGCAACTTATCTTATATCAAATATTCAGCCCCGACCTAGAAACTCTTTCTCTTGTAGCTTTCATCTTATACTGGAACTTCCTCTTCAATCAGATATTTTTCGTATACTAGGAATCTCATTGCCATTGACTTAAATGTTAGAAATACCTCTCCAAATCACTCTTGAACAGCTTCAACAGCTTTCCATCTATTATAAATGCATCATCTTCCGCCAGCAATTCCTCCTCATCGCCTTCACTTCATGCCAAGAGGAACTTCTCTAGGACTTGACTTTTTTGTGACTTGGCCAATTAAGTTGGCCTGTCGCCAAGTGCATTAGCTGTTGCTGCAGTAGCCCATTAGCTTTCCCCACACAGGCACACTCAGAAAGTTTCTCCTCGCACCATAATCCTTGACCCATGTAATTATCCCAACTTGGCCAACTCATCAAAAATTCCAATTAAAAAACTTTTATCAACAATTTGTGTGCCTTGCAGCAAGAGCAGCGGAGGCTTCCGCTACAAGATTGCCAGGTCACTCATCCTGTCCAAGGTGAAGGCTGCGCTGGGCTTTGATCGTGTGATCAGCCTGGTGACTGCTGCGGCGCCCATGTCCCCAGAGACCAAGAAATACTTCCTCAGTCTGGACATGAAGATATTGGATGCCTTCGGCATGTCCGAAACCGGCGGCTGTCACACGCTCTGCCTGCCGGACTCGACGCTCTTGAACTCGATTGGCAAATCGTTGCCGGGCTGCGAATCGAAGATCATCAATCAGGATGAGAATGGCCACGGTGAGCTGTGCATACGTGGACGCCATGTGTTCATGGGCTACATTGCCAACAAGGAGAAGACGGAGGAGTCCCTGGACGACGATTGCTGGCTGCACACGGGCGACTTGGGCTACATCGATGACAAGGGCTATGTGATGCTGACAGGCCGCTCCAAGGAGCTGATCATCACAGCCGGCGGCGAGAATATTCCACCCGTGCACATTGAGAACATCATCAAGAAAGAATTGGACGGCATCTCCAATGCCTTCCTGGTGGGTGAGCAGCGCAAATATTTAACTGTGCTGGTTTCCATTAAGGTAGGTACGAAGATAATCCCTCTATCTGCAAATCTATATTCGTATTCTTCCTCTTTTCGGCAGACCGAGGTGGAGCGCGAGACTGGCGCACCCACGGATGATCTGACGCACGAATCGATTGCCTGGATGAAGTCGCTGGGCGTTGAGTACACGAAGCTCAGTGAAATTCTGGCAGCCGGTCCTTGCCCCAAAGTCCTGAAGTCCATCGAGGATGGCATCAAGCGCGCCAACAAACAATCCATCTCGAATGCCCAGAAGGTGCAGAAATTCGCCATACTGCCGCACGATTTCTCGATAGCCACCGGCGAGCTGGGACCCACTCTGAAGGTCAAGCGCAATGTGGTCAACAAAATGTACGCGGATCTCATCGAGACCCTATATGCCTAAGAAACGATTCCACGTTTGGCTGTGAAACCAAATCAAATTGAAAACAAAACCAACCCGAAAATCAATTCAAAAGAAAAGAAAGGAAATGAAATTATTTATCAACCTATGAGAGCTATGCAATTAGAGCTTTAAAACACAAAAATTATATATGAAATGAATTTAAACGGACTTACAAGCCATTGCCAGAGCTTAACATTAACTATTTGTACTATAATATCTATATCTATATATAGAGAGAAATTTTTGTAGATAAAAAATCCTAGCCCACCCGCCACTCAATTGATATGAGTGCGATGTTGATAATGATGTTAAAAATGTTGATAATGTTGATAATGATGATATTGATTGATGATKATGATTGATGATGATAGTGATGATACTGATAATAACGATTGATGTTAATGATGAACGACTACACTTTTTCCATCAAAACTATATTGATATCTAGCGTATAAGTTTTTGAAATAGTATGTTAATTTGTTTTATTTACTGAAACACGCGAGCGCTAAGGGAATTATACGATCCTATTGTTTGAATTATAATAAAAAAAAAAAAATTATACAACAAAATATTTGCTTATAAATTTACAGTTAATTTTAAATTACGTATTTGAAATTTTAAATCAAGCTTGAGAATTCCTAAATGCAGTGCTAGTCCTGAGAGATGCCTTCCTGCATATTTTCACCAGCTCATCCATTTCCTCTCCCGATAAGTTGACTGAATTGCTATTATCTCACTGTAAAGAAAAATATAATACATTTTAACGGGCCTAAGGCTGACTTTAGTGTCTCATTTCTTTCCATAATTCCTAGACAGACGACATGATTACCATAGGAAAAATACCAGAAGACTGATTATACTGGAAAGAAATAACTTTGCAGCAGTTATCAGCGCTTTAGCTATCACTCTCTCCCGCTCTCTCGCTGGCCCTCTCTTTTTCTAGTTTATTTCCAAGTGAGATATATTCTGAGCCCTCACACAAGATTTTCCTGCCATTTCTCTCTTCAACTCCCATTTTATTTTCATATTGATTTCCACGCTTAGCATTACACATTAGAACTTATAGGACTAGGTCTTGGGCCTAGGTCAATCTTTGCTCTCCTCCAGTGGCTCCTCAGTGGTTGGCTCTCCCTCGTCGCGCTCCAGGCCCTTGGCCAGTCGCTCGGCCACCCGCTGCATCAGCTCCTCCATGCTCATTTCGATCTTGATGCAGGCGCGACGCTGCAGATCGTAGCGCTGATCGTGGCCGCACTGGATGCGTTCGCAGCTGAGACTCATGCTGAACCAGCTGCTGACGTCCTTGAAGCCGGGCCGGCACTCGCACTCGTTGTGGCCAATGCAATGGCTGTGCTCCGGACAGCCGCCCTGGCAGATGGGGCGGCAGATCAGCTGATGCTGTTTGTTGGGATGATGCGAGTGCTCGTAGCCGCGCATGCAGTGGCACTTATTCGGCTCCACACAGTAGCTGTGGGCGGGGCACGCCTCCGTGCAGATCGGCTCACAGAAGCCAAAGATAATGGTGCGATAGCCGGGACAACACATGCGCACCGTATCCCAGCGAACACGCTCCTCGTACACAATATACTGCTCGCTGGCATTGTTCACGAGCCGTGTTCTGGTCAATGGCACCTGGTACTTGACACTAATGTTCTTCTGGCAGTGCCCGCTCGTAATGGCCAGCGCCTGGCTCTGGCCGAGGAGAAGCAACAGCACCAACGGCAACATACTCCCAGATAGCTCCCAAGCTTCCAGTTCTGTTCACGTCTCGAAAGGCACTAAATGCCGACGACTCTAGCTGAGAAGGGGAAAGTCGAGCTCTTTGTGCCGGCCACGATAACTCTGAATCTCACACTGACTCCCACTCTGACTCTGACTCTGGCTGTTTTGCACGACCTTATCGCCGGAATGGAAAATGGAAGCACGTCTGGCATGTCGGGTATACGTATATATAAGTATACAGTACATGCATATGTTCGATAAGGAGAGTCAGACTTGATCTTCTCAATGAGCGATAAATGTCTGGAGTTAATAATTATAACAATATACGTTATCCAATAAAGTCGTACGATTAATGCCGGAAAATGAAAGTCAAATAAATGTATTCGTTTTTTGTCCGTCCATCTGACCGCGCATATATGTGATGCAGATGTATTCTATATAAACATATATTATACCCAACTTAAGGTTGGTTAAGGTAATCAGCCTATTGGAACTATTTGTAAAAAATAATTCGGATTTGACTATTATGAAGGAAATGCAGAAGTCGAATAGTCAAGCCATGAATCTTCATGAATATAGAAAGCATTTCCCAGTTACTAATCACTCGTCTCTGACGAACTAAGTCATCAGATTTTTTGCCGTTTTAAGCATCATTTCTAATGGGCTCCTTTTAGATCATAAGGAAAGAGAAATACTGCAAAAAAAACACCTATGTAATACCTCTAGCTCCATCAAAGGTATATATAGAAACCTGCATAAACCACAATGACTAACATTCACAAGCTAAAATAAATGCAAATCCGAACAAGAATCATATAAAAGTGCGTAAAGCATGTAAAAAACTCAGTTGAGTGTGAAATGCAGAACGTGAAAGTTGAGATTATTTCGCTAAAAAATGGATACGTTTTGGAGACTACTGAACCTAGGACTACTGGGAGTATTGGACTGCGTTCACTTGAATCGGGCTGCATCAGTGGACAATTACAGCAATGATGTAAGCGTAGCTAAAAATATATCCACAATAAAAAATAAATAAATAAAATAAAAATAAATGAAATATACTTAAGCCAATATTTTGAAAATCATTTGAAACGAGTATTCACATTATTAAATATTTTTTATTAATATAGATGTCAATAAGAAAAACAATATTTAATGCTTCTATTTTTACTAAATATTTAATACTTCTTTTTTTTTAAGATATTTATTGTTATTAATTCAGATGTCGATATTAAGTTTTCTAGTCTCATTTTTTTCCAACATTGCTGGTACTTTTTTAATACAAATTCTAATTTTTATTATTATTTTCTTTTTTTT